TCCTTCCCTATTTCATGTTTTTCTACTTTCCGATGAATTTTGGACGAGAACAAAACCTTTTTCTGAATGAGCCAACATTTTGGAAAATCTTCAAGTCTTGATTTTCATCGTTATGTGAGTATTAAAATGCTCTAGGGATGGGGCGGTGCGGCACATAAAAGTTGAATTTCGGCAGGCTTTTTTTGGACTACATAATATAATTATTTCAATAACGATACTGAGTGTACAAATATTTATCATTTTAATCCCTCTCAATAACTTTTATTGTGGCGCCGCCCCAGAAGCTTTCAAGAAATTCAAAGTGGATTTAGGGAATATAAAAAAATGCATATGAATGAGCGAAAAGTATTGAATCAATTTGATCAACGATCAATTTTTCAGGTAATGAAGTAATACATGTTACTTTTTCTTGTAGGTAGATCCAAAATTGTCCTACCTATCGGAGAAACTGCAAATTACCAAGACCAAAGTCAAATCATCCTTGTTCCTAGATACATTAAGTACATGGAGTTTTGTTGGAGGGAGCTAGCAGAAACTAATACGAAAGTAAACGTAGTAGCGGCCAGGATTATCACCGGGCAATAGCATAACAACTCGGCAATATAGATTTTGAAAATCTGACGGGATTTCGTCCGCCGGATGCACTGAAAGGAAATATTCAAAGGATTATGCGACGAAGTACAAAGGAACTGCTTATATACCGAACAACGGGAATGAGTGCCAAGAAAATTAAATTTGTAGCGCTAAACAAAGCACTGAAAGTGCTCTTGCGAGCAAACTCGATGAAAATTATACAACAAAATATAACGTAGTTAAATGTAATCATATTATATTTATTGTAACTGTATAAAAACTGTTTGTACAGGGTTGTAGTATAAGTGTATATATATAGGTATTTTTTTTTTCGATTTTCGTCTGCCGGTGCGCATGACGTCCCGCAGAGAGTGACTCTCATTTAGATTGGTATGGATAACGTGCATATTTTCACCTACAGGCTAAACGGCTGGACGGATTTTCACATATGAGGTGCCGTTAGATTCGTCTTAGCGGTGCGAGTGACTCTAGCTACATTGAAATTTTATAAAAAACAAACTGGTGGATTCTAATAAAAGATTTCAACGTTGTAATTCCTACTTCATAGGCTACAGATAGGCTTGAGACATACGACTCTTTTCTCTGAGTTCGCTCATTTCGTTCATCTCTCTTTAGTGAGTTGTTCGTTCAGAGTCGTTCACTTGAACGATACGATTACCGACCGGCATCGAAGCTGACGAGAGTATTGTGTTGCCTATAGAAACGACTCGCTGAGTCAGAGGATAAACATCATACTATGAAAATTAGATGAAGGGTTGGGGTTGCCGATGTTATTGTATTTATTTAAATAATTAGTATTTTTTGTTGAAATTGAATATAACGATTGTATACTGCCTTCCGAAAAAAGAAGGGATATGTGGTCCGGTTTTGAGGAATTACCGAATTCTGAATCAAAATGCAATTTTTGCTCTCAAATCCCATCATTTCAACTTATAATTTAATGAGAGATCTCAAAACAAAACAATTGGGTTCCCTAGATAGTGTCTGTACTGTTACCACGGTGTCAGTTCGCAGATCAGTTGCTGCATACTACAGACACGCTTTGCACAATTGAACGAACCATATTTAACAAAAGAGTCGTTCAATCATCGCTTACTTAGATGAGTCGTTCATTTTGAACGACTCGTTCGCGAACGACACATGACTAGCTACAGATCAAACTCCTTGATAGATTTTCACATATGAGGTGTCGTTGAAATGGCCTTAGCGGTGCAAGTGACATTAAAATTTGTTACAAAACAAAATGGTGGATTTTAGTAAAAGATTTAAGCCTTGTAATTCCTACTTCATAGGCTACATTTAATACTGCACTACATTTATTCATCCTTATTTCACAGAACATCCTAAGTACTAATTAATACATGCAAGTGTGAAAATGTACGCAGCTCGAAAAGAAGAAAAATGGAATAATCATCCTTTGTCAGTAAGCTGGTGATATAACAATAAATGGAAATGACTTAGTCTAAGCCCCAATGTTTCTCCATTTCCTTTTACGATTTTTCTGGTCTTTCAAGCTTTTATGCAGTTCTTTGATCCGCAAGAACATCCTTGACCTGAAAAATAGTTTCTTAGCTTTTTCAGGACAGTCAATGTTGCTGCTCTTCATCAGAAGTTCGCCTATAAAATTTTGCTTTTCTGTCACTATTCCGTCCCCATTTAATGTAATATACACCTTATTAAGCTTCTCAATGTGATTCATGAAATCTGTGGAAGGTTTTGATAATCCACTCTCACTGAGATGGTCTATTCAGGAGTAAGTTTCATTTGATTAACTTTTTAACCTCTCATCCTGCAATTTATGGCAAACAAAACCAGCCAAAATTTTCGGCCCATCATACTCGAGATCATCTTTTTCTTCCACTAAAACTTCCTCGTTATAGTCAGCTGATACTTCAGGTGCATTCAGTTAGTGGAATGTCCGGAGTATCCTCTTCCTCTACGCTGCAATACTCTGAACATGCGCCTTCGTTTCGCCCCAAAATATATGATCTTCTTCTATAATTAACCTCTAGGAGATAAGTTGAGTCCTTTGCCTTTTTTCGCAAGCACTTTTCCACTTTTCCCCATCAACAGATGTAGATGGTCCAGGTGATTATACAGACTTGGGTAAATTTTCCATAGAAATGGTATCATCTTTTAGAGCACGATATCTTTTAGGGGTGTAACCCAAGAGGGTATGTTTCAAATTGACCTTATAGCACTTTCACAAAAGTACTTCGAGCAAACCCTAGCGCTTTTTACCTTGACTTTGATTTTTCTGTTTCTACGATGTAAACATTTATTGCTAAGGTTTGGGTCTTGAGGAAAACTGTGGAACTTCATGTCTTTGCAAGGATTCCGTTTCGATTGATTGTCGGAATTACATTCCACAACAGCACACCACATTTTTATCAATTTACTAACATCACAGGGTATATAAAGTATGTATAACTATTACATCAAGTCACAAACCCACCAAAAATCACCAACAAATCCAACTAGACAGTATTAACCATGATACACGTGCACTGCAGTAACGTTACGACAATCCTGCCACTGGGAACCACGAGCCAACAACTCTCTGGGTGACGTCAGGAAGCTCCGCCCACATGCGACGTTACCGGGTACTCCGTCAGTCAGATATGTGCGTATCCCCGCACGCGTCACATTGCGCTAACAGATACCGTTAATTCAATTAGTATTTATTTAATGTGTTGAATATATTCGTTGTTACTGCACCGTCTACCTTCTTCCGCAATCACAACCAAAGCGATATACTAAACGTTGTATATGAAATTTTCCAAAATATAAGAAAAAAACTTTGACTCATCCACAAAGCGCCACCTAGCGACTGAGCTAATCTGACAAGATTAACCGTTCATTTCGAGTACCTACCGCATAGGTGAATACTTTTTCAAGCGAAACCAAGATCATCAAAAACGATGTAACCAAACAGAAGTTGTGACATTCAACCCTTCTCCCACCCTAAACTAACCAAAATATCAGAAAATGATATTAAGAAAAAACTTACTTTGGTCGATCAACATGACAAGTCTATAATCAAATCCAAGCGAATAACCAAAATTTCTGTGTTATGTGCCGCGGTTATAATATGGTTCAAGATCACACACGGGTTGATGACGTCAGTTACACGAATCGCTTGATCGCGTTGGTTTTAACCGCGGTTTTGTTGCAAGTTGTTTATTTTAAAAAAGCGCGTATATAATCTCTGATTATTTTTATTATCACGTAATAATCGGTGCTTTTTCGTCTACAACTGTATATGGAAAGTTTAAATAAGAAACCTTTCATAATATTCATGGGAGAAATGTTCTTTTCAGATTTTTTTTTAATGATGGAACCATGGCTTTGTAGCTATGATAACTTTCAATTCTCTAAATTTTTCCGCATAAAAAGAAAACATTTATTGATTCAGCAGAAATGATGAAAAAAGAAATTAGCAAAACCGTATACAGGTGGATATCATCTAGTGAGTTTATATGGCCATATTTTAATATTCTTGTGGTATATGGCTACACAGGATACTTTGTTAAGCATGGGAACTACATTTAAAGTGTCCCCAACAACCGTAATGAGTATAACTAATAAGGTGCTCCACTTTATGGTAAAACTGAAGTCAGCCTGTATCAATTTTCTCAAAAATGAAGCTGAAGTACTATCCAATACCCGGCAAAATTCTAACTTGTCACATTTCAAAATAATAACCAGAAATATAAAACTATTCCTCAGTTGGGTAAATACCACAGTTTTGCGGTGATAACTATGACATATAACAGCTGATTCGTGACGTCACGGATCTTATAACCAAACTACACTCGCTTGAACGGATTGGTAAATACCAAGCCAAAATGGTAAATACCATTTCGATTTGGTTATCCGCTTGAATTTGATTTATATAATGAGTACCTATGTTCACTAAGAATTTTTGCACGACAATGGCGTTTGAATATTTGAAATCCGAATGGCATCAATTAGCGGATACTTTACGAAGCTAAATTTGTACCATGCATTTTTTTAACCGCTAACTCTAAGTTTAGCGGCTGTAGAGACACAGCTGGCGTCCTTTATTATTAGCCCACCTAGTAGATCATTCTACAAATGCAGCCGATTCCACTGAACGACTTTCTGCGATAGATTTTGTGCCATCTCTTTTGCGGTGGTGCCATTTTTAAATACTTTTAACTTTTGCTACTTAATTATACGCTCAATAACTTCTCACAGTTTTTTCACCTTTTCTTTCACAAACAATTACAAAAAGCCCTTTTTTAGACCGTTACAGTGACCCATGTCCCTTTAAAATATTATTTAAATCAAGTAATCCCAGCACGCACATGACAAGGAGACGTCTGGCAAGAAAACTGACACTATTGACAGTAGCCAGCTGAGATCTGTCATCTGTCAGCGCGTCGCGAGGTTGGTAGTCTTGACGCAGGATTTCGTTTTTAGTGACGAGTGTGGTGTTGTGGTTGTGTTTGCGGACTGAAAAAAAAAACGTATTCCGGGGACTTTTTACATATCTTTTTGACATTTTTCTTAAATTAAGGGGTAGATGAAGGTAAGTACTTGTGCAAACTTAGCTTATTGATTGGCAGACTGCAAAATTCTCAATTTACCGCCATTACCGAGGAAGGCTACTATGTTGATTACTTTTTAGTTATTACCAAATTCATACGTCACGATGTTGGTAAACATTTATTTTAGAAACGATGTATGTTTTAACCCTCAGTACTCTATGTACGGAAATAGATGAATATCGTATATCTAGCCTAATACCTATAGGCATTCATTTGTTTACAGGGTCACCTAGAGTTCTTTGAACTTTTCACAAACTATCATTGCAATTGTTGCAAAATTTACTGGTCCTATATTGAGTTTATTAGTACAATTACAGAAAGCAACACCAATTAGGAGACGCCGACATTTCAAACCACCTAGCTACACTGTTTATGCCTCCAGTCAAAAGGACTGAACAATTTTTATGTATAGGAAGACTTGATTGGTATTAGTTCCTTACACATACTTGTCAAAGAATTACATTAATTTCACTAGCAATGGTACTTTTCAGATGGACATTGGATTCTTCCTTTTTGACTTGACTTCCTTTGTGGTTGGTTACTGAAGCACCATACAAAAGCTCTCTAGTTACTGATATAAAGATTATTTTCGAAAATCTATTGATTGAAAAGCTATATTTTTAAAAGTTTGACCAGCATCGATAAGGCTTACTGTGCTTAGCACTCAGTGTAATCAAATCATCAACTCATGTATGGCAAGACACTAGTTAAAATGTTCTTTACTTGGATTTATATCGATTTTCAAAAGTCTTAATCTAATCTAATGCATACAACTGCAACACATTTTTCTATACAATAGTAAACTTTCTCTTCTTTACTATACTAACAAACATGAATCTGCTAAGATTCCTTCAATGCATACCTGGCTGAAATACAGTAGTGAGCATTAAAAGAGAAACTGCTTGCGCCATTCAAGTTGTGCACTTAAACTGTCACATTTTCTTCATTCACAGTAAGTAACAGAAAAGCATCACTAGAAATTACAAAGCAGTACCAATTATAAATCTGTCACCCAATTCTATAGGATATTTTGTGTGTCTCTTGTTAAATTTTGAAATGTTGAATCAACCATGCAATAGTTTATATTGAGATTGGCAGTATCATTGATAAACATTCTTTTTGTAGGATATATTATGCCTCGCAAAGATAAGTATGAAGGTAACAGCAGTAACAATGGCTCGGGTCGTCGCGTGCAATCCCTCATTTCGCAGGAGGAGCAGGCCGCTGGGAAAAAGTCATGCTGGAATGAGTTGGAGATAACAGGAACCATCAGAAACCTCAGTCCAAATCTGTTCCAGATGACTCATCTAACTGCACTGCATTTAAAGAACAATAGCCTGTGTAGGTTGTTGCCTGAAATATGCCAGCTGGTTAATCTGCGCAATCTTGATCTGAGTTACAACAAGTTGCGATCACTGCCTGCTGAGTTGGGGGAGCTCATACATCTCAGGTAAATATTACAAACATATGCTGGGCTATTCAAAAAAGTATGCTAATGGTTATTAGAGAGTTGATGGTAATCATAAATACTGTTTTTGATGTCATGACTTAAATTTCAGATGAGATCAACATTAAGGTTTATGCATGAGGTATTAGTGATTGCCAAAACCCTATTATAATGAATGTTCTAACAAAGTAAGTGAAAAAGCTGAAAGTCTGCAAAAACCAATTGTTCGCCAATTTGTGCCTGAAAAACAAGGTTGGAATCACTTTAAAATCACATAATTTCAAATTACCCTTCAGGGTGTTGCAGAGTAAGATTTTAGCTCTAATTTAGATACTTGGTGACCTCAAACTTTGTAATTTTCAATCGAGTTTTTAAGCATTAAATATACACGCATGGTAACCCACATCAAATTTGTTTAAACAATATTTTGGGACACATTTTTTTGCGTAGACAATTTTTTTTCAGGTCTTTTGAATCATTTCTAACTGAAAAGGCTTCTATTAACTTTTCCACAAAGCTGACCATTTTCGAGTTGTAAGCGATTCAATGTCTGAAAAGCCCTAAAATTGGATATATGCAATGCTTAAAAGCTTGGTTACATTTTACAGGTTTTGAGATTGCCAAATATCTAAATTAAAGTTAGCTATTTTGAGATTACCTTATTTTAAAGTGCTTTTTAACCGTGTTAAAACAAAATAGGCGAACCCTTGGTTTTTGCAGACTGTACATACACTCTTTAAGTGGATAAACAAACATAACTCATTTCCTAAAAAAGACAAAATTTTTTTCTGAAATCACATATTTAGGTAAATCAGATAATTTTGAGGTCAAGTTCTCAGAGAAAATGAGGGAAACAGATCAGGAAAGCTAGGAGAATTTAGGTTACATGATTAAATTCTATCAACTGAATTATGTTTGGTGCTCTGGTATTCTAATTGTTGATCTACTACTACTGAATTTCTAAATTATTTTAACTAAATGTTTGCTATGGTATTTTATTTGGGTAAAGATCAAGGAAATTCTAGCCTTAGTACTAACTACTTGGATTTTATTAAAGATTTGATGTTGAAAAATACATAATGTGAGGTACAGTAATGGAATAAAAAAATATGAATATTCACCTAAATACCTTTAGAAAACGAATTCATACTTCATTGCTTCATAAACAAATGCGTTATTAGTAGATCAACTAAATTCCTTGTTTTTACATTATCTGCAATGAACACAATACAAGTCTGAATAAAAGCACTTTTTCATGAGGGACAAAAATATGTAGACAAATTTTTTTGAACATTAGTTTAGTACAGTTTCATGTCAGAAGAGGATTAGTTTGTGTTCATCAAGTATTGTGGAATATGTTGAGTGATTTTAAGATCATGCCACATGGTTCAGAAATTTCTTTCGATGTGAAAACTAAGATCATTGAGTTTTACAAAAATGGTCAACGTCAAGTCAACATTGCTAAAAATTTGAAGCTGAAGCGTAAAGCAGTTTGGGCAAGATTGAACAAATATAAACAAAAAGGTATCTTGGAAGCCTCTAAGAGAAGTGGTCGGCCTAGAAAACTAAATGCTAGATCAGTTAGATTAATACAATATCGTCCAAAGATCCGTTTAGAACACCAAGACAAATACAAGCCGAAATCGAGACAAAAGGAATTGTCAGTGTTTCTACGAAAACTATAAGTAGAAGATTAAATGATTTGAAGTTATTTGCACGTCGCCCGAGTAAGAAGCCGCTAATCTCGAGAAAAAACCGTAAGGACCGATTACAATTTGCACGGTTGCATCTTGATTGGAGAATCTGTGACTGGAAGCGGGTATGTTTCAGTGACGAATCCAAGTTCAATATGTTTGGATCAGATGGTGTTCATTACGTTAGACGTCCTAATGGACAAAGATTGAACCCTAAGTACACTTTGCCCACTGTCAGACGTGGAGGCGGGTCTGGGCCTTCACAGTCTCCCGATATAAACCCCATTGAAAATCTATGGGAATACTTAGATAAGCAAATACGAGATAAAAATTATTCAAACAAGGATGAACTTTTTGCCTCTTGAGAGCAAAAGTGGAGACAGATTGATGAATCGTATATTAAGAAACTTCTACAATCTATGCCGAGACGATGCCAGGCGGTGATTGATAATAATGGTTATGCTACAAAATATTAACACGAACATGGTTGGTTTTCTATAACTCAATGAACTTTGCTTCTTTTTTCTATAATTGTTTTGCTTTGTCTATATATTTTTGTGTTTCATAGTTACAGTTTTTTTCAATTAATTTTTTATTGAAGAGGTCTAATGAATTTATTTATGTATAAGTGAGTATTATGCTATAACGGATTATGTATACAGGCTGGTGTATTAATAAAACAAGTTAAAAAACAAATACAGCACAATATTAATTTGTCTATATACTTTTGTCCATTACTGTATGTCACAATTCAAATATTCATTTAGACAACATAACAGCAAATATACAAAATGTTTGTATACTCAAAAACAGTTTTCATGAGTAGGCATTTATTATATGTGATAGTCCAAATTTAATAATATGGTATCGAATATATTAGAAGGATCTGCAGCTTATATGCTTACATTGCATTGTTTGTTACCAAAATTGAGTAGTTTTAGTACATACTTTTGACTACCAAACAGACAGCATTGTATTAACATAATAATATTACTTACTGGTGGAAACATCTGCCTCCATTAGGCTTTATCACTCTTTGGAATTCATGTAAGAAGTACCATGTGTTGAAATCGTATAACACCACAATTATCTGCAAACACTCGTACTTTTGAAAAATAACACTGAATACCCTATGATCAAAAAGTACCGGGAATTTTTAATTTCAGCAAACTGCACATGACAGAACCGCTAATTTTTAGTTTTTTTAGGATGGTACCATCTGAACTGACATACGTGTCAATGTCAATGTGTACGTCAGTCAACTTTTTAACTTTTGTCGCATTTTGATATGGATCGTTTTGTTGAGCAAAGAGTTTATCTGAAGTTTTGTGTTGCTAGCAGTGAATCATTAAGAATGTTGCAAAAAGCGTTTGGGGAGTCTGCAATGTCGAAAACTCGGACATACGAATGGTATAAAGACTAAAACTGGTCGTATAGTGGTAGGGGATTTGCCTCGTTCCGCCACCCATCCACGTTAAACACCGAGGAGAAAGTCAAAAAACTGAAGGAAGTGGTGCTCGGAAATTGCCACCCCAGCAAGACAGATTGCTACTGTCCGTTTTGAAGCTTTTGAGCGATGCCGTACGTCGTAAACGGCCGGGGTTGTGGGCCGATAATTCGTGGATTTTGCGCGACGATAACGCGCCGTCTTATCGGGCCAGAATTGTGCTTGATTATTAGACCAAACATCAAGTAAATACCATTGAACAAGCGTATTTACCTGATATGGCTCCGTGCGACTTTTTTCTCTTCCCAAAGCTCAAATTACCACTTCGGGGAAAGAGATTTCAGTCCATACATGACATCAAGCAGAATGCGACGAGAGAGCTAAAGGTCATACCTTTGGCGACTTACCAGCGCTGCATGGACGAGTGGGTGAAACGCTGACACACGTGTGTTGATCCAAATGGATGTTATTTTGAAGGCGATAAAATAAATTTGACTGAAAATTGAACCGTTTTCGATTTATTCTTAAGTTCCCGGTACTTTTTGATCATAGGGTATAACACATGGTTCAGTAAGTCCCAGGACTCACCCACAGATGGCGATAGTAATGACAAGTCAACTTTATTTGTTGAAAGAGCTAAACTTCATGTGACATCTGTCAAATTTTTGCGAAAATCGCACCATAAATAGCAGATATACTGCGGTGAACGTGAGGTTAATAATTCTGCATTTGTTTTCAAAATGGACAAAAACGAATTTCGTGTGTTGATAAACATTGCTATTTAATGGGAAAGAATACCGTGCAAGCTCAGCAGTGGCTTGAAAAATGTTGTCCGCACGGGTATCATGTAAAAAAACCTACAAAACGTCAGAAAAAACCTATAAGATGTCATCTTGCATACTAGGTAGTTTTTAGGGTGCAAACAGTCGTTCCACGTTTGCTCACTTGGGTCGTTGTAAGCGCGATCCATCTATGAAGGATACCTGAACGATACGAGATATTTTTCTCGTCCCAAATATGTATTATTGGTTGCAGAGAACTGACAGAGCCACGTAGTTTTTAGTTCATAGACCTCAATGTGTAGGTTTGAAATGTGAAAAACGAAAGTTTGGTTGAGTAGCAAGACCGCATCTGGATGATTGTATTGGTCTGCATGTGTATAAAAAAGTGAGATTTGATAAGTTGAGAACATTATTACTGACTATGCTGCCAATGAAGTATATCTATTAGCTGTGCCAGACGAGTTATTTGTGTTGTTCTTTCTGAGGAGAGGTTATATTCAAAGTTATGTGTTGTTTTCAAAAACTTTGAGAAGAATTAAAAAAGATCACTACCGCGCCCGCGTTGTGTGTAACTCTACTGTTAGCATGTATATGACTCGTAATTTCGACAGTGTACAGTGAATATAATTGCAATATGTAAGTATAAAATATAAGATTCCACTTAGTTAATTCTCATCTGCAGTGATTGAATTAATTCATCTTTTGTATGTTACTCAAATTAGTAATTTGTTGAACTCAAATTCTAGTTGTCAGTATTCAACTATTGTATTAATGGAAGGAAACATTAACAGTGCATAAGAACTCCAGCACAGTTTCTGAAACTGTGGATGCCTTTTCCACTTGTCACTATTGTCTCATTATTATTAAAATCATAATATTATGATTGTTTGAAGATTGTCTATATTCTCCTACATAACAAGGTAGACAGTAAGTACATTATTTAAATAGATTTAGCTCTAATTTTGGTAGTTATATTGAGAAAGAATGAAAATGAAATCATAACTCAGTTTTGATAGACCTCTTTGATAAACAAGAAGTAAATGGAAGCATACAGAATAAGAAATAGATTCAGCGCTGGTATTTCAGTCAGAGATACTCAAAATAAAATGTTATATTGTAATAGTATTAAATTAAATAACGATATAATTGAAAGTGCAAATTTACTGGCTGAACATGAAATCACTAAAATTACCCCACTTTATAACTCACTCTTTAATGCTTACATAATATTTGAATGGTCCATGTGATGAAGAAGTGGCTCTTCTATATAAAAAAACTAGTTAGCAGTATAAATGGCTGTATTCGAATGAATCAAAGATCAATGTCAACACATATACATACATATAATCTACCATGTAGTGTAAAGAATGTACATTTATGTTGAATTTAATATTGTGATATTCACTCATTGCTGTCATACAACAGTTGTTCTTGGGGCCAGTGTTCTAAACTTAGATTAGAGACCTTTGTTAACTAAGTGTCAAGCATTCAAAATATTTGATTTGAACATTATGGAATTCATTCAACAACTCATATGATAGCCTTTCATGATCACTAAATGTGATGTGATGATTGAATTTTCCAGAGATAAAACATCAGTACTGCAGATATGTAGTCAAAGGTTGCCAGGAAAGTATATGAGACGGATTCCCAAACACTAAGAAATTCCTTTACATTTTTGTACAATGAATGGACAAGGTTTGGAAGAAAGCTCTGACATCTATTGATCGTTTGGCTTTTTTTGGTGGTTACAGACATGCACCCTTCACAAAGGAAAACAGCTGTATCAATTGAAGACATTATCAGTCAAGTTTCGCCAATATAAATATCTACCACAAGCGAATGATTGGTAAGTTTTACATCTTCCATCTCTAAACAATTACAATGTCATTATGTGCTTAAGTTGAGAAGTAAGCAATTACTAACCGAGCCTGAGGCATGTAGGGAGGGATGAATATAATTTTTTCTCATAATGTGCTTTTCAACTGTAGCTCATATATAATTTTTTCTTGTTAGTAAGATTAATCAATTAGCCATTTGGAAGACACAGTATCAATATTAAGTTGTTTTACCTATACTTTCTTAATAATTATAATTTTCATGCACTTTGTTCTGTGAATTTTAAAGATGTTTGGTTTCATTTGAACCTTCATCCTCTTCTTTGCCTCAAACACAGCAATCAGTAGAGTCAAGTTGAACATGCTCAGCAGTATTTTGAAGCAAGTAAGCAGAAAGATAATATTGAATGGATGAATTAGTCGTCACCATCAAAAACATCTATGTTCCAGTATTTACAAAGTTTTTACTGTATTATTCAAATATTTGAACATTTGGACAGTATATTGATTATACAATAACTTTGAACTAAATTTTAATCAATAACCCTATCAAATCACATAAGTTAACAATATTTATTCACAAATTAAACATATTATTGAGTGACATTGGCAAAAACAATCATCAGAACCCCATTAAGCTTCAGCTTTTTCTGTCAATTTTTAAGCTTGCTCAAAACAGTGTTTCCATTAAATATACAATAATCTATAAGTGATTTGATTGGAAGAAATATTTTGGGATAGGTTTTAACCTTTCGAATTATTTAGTTGGGGTGGAGAATTATTCTCCGTATGAGTGTGCTTATCCTCGTCCATTGAATATTTCTTTATGGCTAATATGTATTTCTTGCTGCAGACCCTAAGCTTTGTATTTTTCTCAGAGACTGTTTTAAGATGTCGACCCCAGTAATCATTCGGGTATCTCCGGCAAATTGTCTGCAACATTTTGTCTGCCAACTTCACATCCATCCAAGCCAATCTATTTGCCTTCATTCTTAACTGATATATTACATTTGATTTTAGGTTTCCTCAAGACCTGCGTTTAGAATATTACATCACAGAGATGTATCCAAAGAGTTGCAGTCGACTCTAACTGCCAGGAAGTTATATGGAATAGATCATTGCCACTCTAGGAGTAATTCTAGAGTAGAGCTAAAGTATGGTACCTCAATACAATAACAGCCAAATCATCATCATCTCTTGGCACCATTCGTCAACTGAACATCCGTGGGGTATGATGGGAAGAAGAGCGACCTCTTTACCTTATCCTCTACCAACATTAGCAACACTTCGCATTGAGTTTGGTATGAGGTACCTTACCAGAAGCACGCTACGATAACTGTTCGAGAATGTATGTGGCACTAAGTTAGTCGAAGACATTATTAGCGGATTCTAGCGATACAGTTAATTTTTTTACCTAAAACTTTTGTCACGTTTTCCTCTTGCTTACTTCTAACTATATACAAACTTCATTCACATAAGACCATTTCCAATGGGCGCCCTTTTTTGTCAGAAAGAATGCTAAAAAAAAACCATGTCCACAAAATTGAAAAATGTTTAGTCAATGACATGGTATTGTGTATGATCTAGTTATCACATTTGCTAAACGTTTTTCCAGGAAAGTTATTTTCTGTTGTGGGGAACATGAAGTTGTTAATGTTTTGACAGTCTATGCCATTAAATAGGGAGATTATGTATAAGGAAATTTTACAGTTTGGGCGACGGTAACTTTTTAGTGATATCGTTACACTATTGCTTTCCTAATGACAAGTTGAAATTGGCATCATGACAGGGCTGGAGTATTTGCCGTCATTTTGATAAAAGCGTTTAATTGAAAATATTGAATCGATCCTATGTAAGAAGGTAATATAGAAACGATTTTGGGGCTAATTAAATGGTCCATCATTTTGATTTTATAAAAACTTGTGTTGGTGAACAGGTTACAAGATGATTAAGGGTAAAGGTACATGTAATGATAGTTTCGGTTATAATGGCTAAACTAAGAACCTAACTGGTACGTTTTGTAAAGAAAAAAAATTGGTACAAAAAGATCACTTACGTTTTTTCGACATTTTGGCGGTTCTTAAAGTATAAGGATGGAATTGTGAAAATTCGTATCAAAGCAGTCACACGACATAGTTCTGGCGCTACATATGTACGTGGTCCACTTAATCGGCATGTAACATTATTTCGCATGAAATGACTGCGTAATCATTACCCATGACCAAGAATACTACCACGTGCAAGCATGGAAAATTAATATTTTTTGATAGTTTTTGATTTTTTTCATTATGAAGATCAAGTCACTCACTTCCATCAGTCGGTGTTTTGGCGATTTTGTTACTGAATAATTTCACCGATTTTAATGGAAGAGGAGATGTAGTAGATAATACTAATTTAGTGCATTACTCCCTTTCCACTAAAATCGTTGCAACGGTTGCTGATTGTACCCAGTGACAAAATGGCCAATAAACAGACTGGCGGAAGTGAGCGACTTGCATTTACATCATGAAATTTCCGAAAATATTAGATGTATACTGACACGTGCGCAACGTGCGTACAGCGCTGAGTATGCCGCGTGACAATTTCGTATAAATTTTTGACTTTCGCTCCATACACTTGAGGAATCATTTTATTTTCTACATAAAAACACTTGTTAGTTTAGCCATTTTAAGCGAAAATGTCATTACATTTAACTTTACCCTTAATTTTCTTGTACCATATTTACTGTTTTATAACAGAAAAGTGATGAATTCAATTTAATACAAACGCGTTTTTTTAAATGTAAGAAAATGCTCCAGCGCTATCATGACGCCAATTTGAACTTATCATTATTGTCATCAAATTGTAGGAAAACAATATATATGTCCTAGCCTACACGTCACTTTCTAAAACCCACAAAAAATAATTTGGCATCCATACATTCATTTTAGAAAAAAATACATCATTGCACCATGCAAAGTTTTTTATAACCACAATATGATTTTTATTTGTTTGTTGCAGTTTTATTTAGCATTAATGCTACAATATCAATTTTGTATAATTATCGGTTTACACATTTTTTTGATTCCATTTTCTTTAATTTTACATTCTAGTGTATTAAGATTATACATCACTATGTATTTTGAGTATTCATAACTTGATTTTTTAATTTCACCTTAAAGATTTTCAAATTCGAAGAAGTTTAATATCATTATTCAATTTATTGAATTCAAATACTGCCTTTTGAAATACAGATTTGCTAGTTATGCTACTATTACAGTTTTTCAGATAAAAAACTATACTGCCTCTGTTTTCATAGTTATGATAACTATTTAATTTTGTGAAGTGTTTTAAATGTAGTGGTAATAAATGGTTGTTCACTTTGAATATGAAAATGAGAACTAAATAGCATATGAAATTTTTTACATTCAACCACTGTAGTTCTTCTAACATAGACTAAATCCTAGCATATTTGTTTTTATTTAAAATGATTCCCATAGCTTTATGTTGAAAAATTTGTAATTTTGAAAATATGTTTTTATTTGCTGTGAACAAAATAGTTGAAAAATATAAAATATGTGGAAGAATGCTGGTGTTATACATTTTTTTTTGAAGACTTACTAAGATTATGGGAAACTCTATAGAAGTAATTTATCTTTTTTGATATTTTTGAAATACTCGTAATGTATACATATTGCTCGTGAAACAGTAGTTTACTATCCACATACGTATATACCCAGATATTTAAATGATTGATTTTATTGATGGAAAGAAGAATGTGAGTTTATTATATAAGAGCCCCTTCCCACTTCAGTTGGCCCAACTATTGAAATCTTAGCTTTTTCTTACCAAACACAAATAATAAAAATGTAGCAGGGTGTTATAGGTTTAAAATATTAACAATGAATATTTTGTTAATATATAGTAGAAAACACCAACTTTATCACTCCCTAATCAAATTTGCAGCATAAAAATAACACATGTTGCAATTACAGCATATCAACCTATTTTCATTTCAATGCAAAATAAGTCTATAATGCTTAGGTGGCTGTGAAAAATAAAAGCCATGACAATTGTTTTTATTAATCACAGCTGTCAGAATACGTTTAAAATAGTTTTGGGTAGTTAAGGTTTTCAAAATGGGTAGAGGAAAGGTTATAGGTAGGAGTAAGAAAATTAGTTTCTCTTTGGATACCTCACCTGTTGACTGAAGAGCAGAAAGCAGCCAGGGTTAATTGGTGTCAAAAAAACGCTTGACAGTTTCAATTCCGGAAACTCAAAAAATGTGTACAGCATTGATAGCATTTGTGTCAAAAGCGGGTCATACTGCAACAATTCCTCTTAATGAGCAAAGAACTGTTACTGCGGATTGGTATACCAGCATTTGTTTGCCAAAGGTCATCACCGAGCTTCGAAAAATCAACCCCGAAAGAAGAATCATCCTACACCAAGACAATGCAAGCTCGCACACAGCCCAAAAAACAAGGCAGTATTTAACGGAAGAAAACGTGGAGACATTGTCAGACTGCCTAAGTGACTATATTTGAGATATGGCTGCCCAGATTCCTTAAAGTAGCTAATAAAATCCTAGCATTCTATTGGCCTCAAATTTAGTGCTATGATTACCTGATTTAGGTAGCATTAATTGTGTACAGCAAGTGTGATTGACTATATATTTCTTTTGAATGTGCTAGGGGTGTACAGCGTCTCTAATGACTGTTTTAGCACTACAACAGGTAAAACACCGCAACCCTGGTACTAATGGGACTTGATGTTTGATATCTAGTTCATATTTCATAGCTTACAGACACATACCATTTACATGTAATATTATCAGCAATCACAATAAATCTATATAGATAGTATGAAGAGCACTTTAAAAAATGAATCTTTCATTCATCTGAGGCAATTCATTTGAAGCAACTTTCGACAATTCTTTCAATATCTTAAAAAATGTTTACCTGAAATGCAGAGAAAACTGTGCATTCTACATCAGAGTCCGAAGTTACTGAGGCACTGATATCATATTTTTGGTTCTTTCTAATCATTTTGTTTTGAGATATAATATTTCCATTTGCAGATTAAATATTTGGTAGTTTTGGCTTTCCCCGCTTTTATTTTGGTAATATTAAAATCCCATGAAAAAAAATAGTTCAGCTACAGCAAATATCCAAACTCCAACTTTCCAAATTGTTACAATCCTAAATACTACTGAATATATGATTGCTTACCATTGCCACCCAATGAACATAATTCATATATTTCCCAGTATTTATCAGGATCATCCTAATCCTCTATTAACTTACAAGTTTTCATTCCTCTACCAACATTCTACTACATTTTATTTTATGAAGACAATAATTACTCAAACCACCATTTTCTTTGACTTTCATTTAACCCTACAACCAGAACATATACTATAATACTTCAAGTAAAAATGAAAATTACTCTTATTCATTCATCTCAAGAAAACCATCTTTGAACGCTCTTTGCTTTACAATCAAATAATGCACATCAGCTCAAAATGAGAAGATACATTCAAAGTAAAACAGATTCTTTCAACGTTAGGCATGAAATTAGTTTAAAAAATACTTTTTGATTATGGTTTACACTCGATATGTTTTTGTAATTATTTCTTTTAACATCTCAATAACTTAGTGCTGAAAAGTGGTTTTTCATAATATAAAAAATATCTACCTACGTCAAAAGCTATACAGGGTGACTTCGAAGTTGAGTCATTTATTTTAACAGTGAGTAGATCTGATCAAAAGAAATGTTTTTTCCTTTACCATTTTTCTGGTAAAATTAAAGTAACTAAGTTATAGCCCTTTGGAAGTTTGAGTACCGCCCTGTCTCATTAATAATATTATGTGCTCGTGTTTGGCGACAACGGATATAATCCGCCTTATCGGTTCATCGCATCGGAAACAAAAAAGCGAGAGAATTTGGAACGATGTTTTTACAATTATTTTGTTCATTTGTATACAGTCAGTGTCAGTCGGTAACGCGTGAGTGAATAGTGGTGTCTGTTGCGTGGCTCAAACGAAATAAAAAATGGCACATGTTTATGCGGATCGGTTTCCCAATCGAGTGCAACCAACCCCTCGTGCCTTTGTTAATGTAGTACAACGGGCTCGTGAATCAGGTGACGGCATGCCGGTGCTCCAAGACCTCACGATCAAATACAGGTCCGCACTGAAATACTTGTCGGGAGGATACTTTATAAAACAAGGTAAAATTTTTTTATAATTTTTTTTTATTTTTACACACATATTTTGGTTTATCTTCCTTCTGCAATCATTATCTGAAAATTAATGACTCAACTTCAAAGTCACCCTGTATATTAAAAATACTCATACACTTTTAATTCCAAGAAAAATAAGATTAATGTGATCAACAAATATAGTGAAGAAAATATTTCGACAAGAATGAATTTACACATTCAACAGGTTCTGTTAGAAATGACTTAATTTAAGTGTAGGTATTACCCATAAGCCCTATGCTTCCAAAATTACTTATTTTGATAATTTTGTGGTTTACCAACATAAATGAGTCTGCAA